GAGAGAGAGAGAGAGAGATGTAGGGAGGGGAAGCAAAGTAAGAGGTTGAGATGGATAACAAAGAGAGGAAGAAAGAAAGCAATATGCCAGGTATACATGAGGGAACACAAGGAGAGAGAAACAAAAGGGAGGGAGGGAGGTGGAGAAAGGAAGTGGAGGCAAAACCAAGCCTGGAGGGTGTGAACGAGGGAAAGAGAGAGAGGGAGTGAGAAGGACAGAGAGATAGAGATTGTGGGTGGCTGATAACAAGAATACACCAGGGATGTAGATGGTTTCGGTGCCAGCTGGCACATTCCTGTCGTCCACTTCCAACGCCCCGCGAGGCAGAGAGATGAGGTCCAATTAAAAGTGTGATAGCCGCCAATCCAGCTCTTCTCTTTATCTGAGAGGATGAAAGGCCGCCCCCCCACCTCCCTCACTCCCCCCCTCTGCCATCATGTCTCCTGTCTTCGCCTCTCCACACTCTGTCCTTCCTCTGAACTGGCTTTCAGATAACAGGCCGGGAGTAAAGGATCAGACAGCTTTTTGAAGAATGTGAACATATACTTGAGCCTGATTTTTACGGAAACCCCCTGGGGACACTGTATGTGTGTGGGTCTTGTGTTTACAGAGTTATGTAACCGTACTGCTGTATTACCACAGTGCAACTAAATTTTACTAATCCTAAAAAAATTAAAGTACTGGATTCTAGATCTCGACCAAAACATCATGAATATAGAAATCAAATTTAAATATGGCGATTTTTATTCCCAAATTCACACAGACTTATATATCCTAGTATTTTCTTCAAAATTACAACTGATAACAAAGGCTTATGGGTATACCGCAAAATAATCAGAAAGGCCTCATATATAGCAGACTTTGATTGCTTCACTACACTGTCTGATTGACAGTGAGTGGTGACTGAAGAGGCAATTTTGAATACATAAACATTACTGGAAACAAAGTGAGAAATAATGCAAAGTTGATGAAATAACCCACCTATTTTTATACTTTTAACTTTTTGGGGAGGTATCTATAGATAAGTTTGCTGACTGATTGAAAACAACATTTTTGTCACGATAGAATTCTTGAAAATTCAATACAGCCTTCTCAGCCAACAACTTATCATTATTTACTAAGGATTAATTACTGATGGTCCTGCAGTTTATTTTTAATTACTGATGAATCTCCAGATCATTTGCTTGATTAATCCTTTTGTCTATTGTATGTAAAAAAAATATTGAAAAATGCTCATTACAACTTCCCAGAATGCAACATGATGTCTTCAAATTGCATGTTTTGTCCAATCATGTTTGTTTCACACTATCGCATGAGATGAAAAAGAGCAGAAAGCCCTTAAAATTAAGAAGCAATACAAGAAAATATTTAGCATTTTTGCATGAAAAATGACTGAAATGATTCATAAATGATCAAAATAGTTGCAGATGGTTTTTCTGGCAATTGACTTCTGAATTAATGATTGGCTAACTGCTGCAGCTCTACAGTCTTCCTGGAGAAACTCTTTTTTTGTTTTTTTTGGCATTTTGCTTTATTATGACAAATGGAATCCATATTCTTCACCACATTTTCTGCCACAGCAGCTGTTTTAGGAGAGAAAGTATTACTAGCAGCTCGCCCTACATCTCACTGACATTCAGAAGAGAGGAAGAATCATTTGCAACAACATGAAACATGGGTGACATTAAGGACAGAAGGTCAGCATGTGGTTTAATTTTCTTACAAACAACTGTGACCTTTCAGTTCTCACTATGTTTAAGTTTAAAGACACGCCAACCCATCAGCACTGATAATGAGACATCTATCCTTTTCATCTGCCCGACTGAAAGCCAAGCGTGTTATGGGTACCAAGGGTATTATGTAAAGGAAAGACAGGAGATTAAATGGCAGCTATATTCTCTGTTGTCCCTCACCTCAACCAGCTGCATGAGGTTCTCAAAGTACTCCTCCTCGTCAATCGTGAGCTTGCCGTTGTGGTAGATGATGCGGTAGTGCTCCACCTTGCCGTCACAGCTGACGCACAGGGTGTAATCGCCGGGATAGTTGGTGCTCTCCCTCACCAGGAACAAGCCCGTCTCTGGAGGATAGAGGAGCCGCTCAGCCTGCTCCCGAGTTATCTTCCCATGGAACCAGCTACATGGAGGGAAGACAGGCAGAAAAGACCAGATGGGGGAGGGAAAGGGAGAAAGGAGCAAAACAATGGAGAGAAAGAGAGGAAAGAAAACTGGTCAGGGGATATAAAAACTGACCTGTAC